CGGAGTAATCTCTCGGTTTCTCCGACGTAGTTGCTTTGTCCACAACTGCACCGGATCCGGTAAACAACTCCAGCCGTTTCCTGCCATGGCCTTGGGTCTTTCGGTCCCACGACCCGGCGCCTGATGGTTGCTTCTGGCCTGTGCACAACTCCAACTCCGAGTGGGGTGAGTAGACGGCTTACCGCTTCCGAGGAGCTCGCCAAATGTTTGCGTTTGCATTGGCTGACAAAATGTTTCCGTGTTAGGTCATTTAGTTTCACTTGAAGGACCTATCGGCAATCGGGTGTATATCACAACTAGGTATGGCCTAAGATGCCTAGAGAAAGTCCACGGTGCAAATGTTGCCTCTGAGGGTTGAGTAGAGTTGTCGAATACTCACCCAACCTTGAGTTAGCCCAGCCAACAGAGAAGGATGATAATTTTAACTTAATTTGTCCTCACGGCACTTTATATCTCCCTGGTTACTCTGCTGGCCGAAAAAGAAACTCTCGGGAACCTTCAGACTACTTGTGGATTCTACTTCCATACAAGCACTTGCGATTGACAAATGATTCGTTTGCGGAAACTAATTGTCATCCCCTTAATCAAAAGTCCGCCTGACTTTTTCGTCATCCCCGGCAAAGAAGGTGTACCCTATTTGTCAGCTGACATCATTTTGAACGTGAGGTATGGGTCGTTCCGACGCAATACATAATCGAATAAACACAGATAACCAGTGCGGTTAAATGAAATAAACAGCTGTGACCGACTCTTATTTTTACAAATTTTTCACGACCAAAGGCTTATTCGCATGGGTGGGGGATTATTCCAATGTCGTGATAGAATGTGTCATACAAAGCCGTACTTGCAGGTGGGGGTAAACAAAAAGTGTTCCATATTTGTAAACCAAAGCATGTCTACTGTTACACAGAAAGTAGACAGTTATGCGAAAACTAAGCTGAGTTGGGACCCAAAGTAGGATTCCACTGATTATCCATTCGAAAGATTGCTTAAAAGTGGCCGTTTTTTTATTAATTGTAGATACCTTGGCAACCCGACTTTCAAAGGCCTCTATGGGCAAG